TCCCATTCAACAAGACCTTATTGGGTGAGGAGTCAGACCCACCTCAAATTCTATCATGGTATCAAAGCCCAGGTTCAGTTGAGCTGAGTGTTTGACCAGCGGGGAGTTAGAGTTAGCAACTACCTCCATCAACAAGCATGACCCAACATATGGACTTGACTGTGAGGGGGAGTGTTGGAGTCCCACATCGACTAGGCACGCTCAAGCCTATTGGGTTATAAGAGGGGGTAATCCTCCCATTCAACAAGGCCTTATTGGGTGAGGAGTCAGGCCCACCTCAAATTCTATCATGGTATCAGAGCCCAAGTTCAATTGAGTTGAGTACTTGACCAGCGGGTGAGGAGTTAGAGCCAGCAACTACCTCCAATAACAAGCATGACTCAACATATGGGCTTGACCGTGAGGGGGAGTGTTGGAGTCCCACATCGATTAGACACGCTCAAGCCTATTAGGTTATAAGAGAGGGTAATCCTTCCATTCAATAAGGCCTTATTGAGTGAGGAGTTAGACCCACCTCAAATTCTATCGGTAATATCTTCTCATAACTAATTCATCCCGTTTAGCATGTCTACTAGCAAGCTTTGTGTTAGCCATTTAGATATTTCCTAGCTTCATGACATCGAGAATGGCCTCCTAATATATATATATATAATTCTATATAAGCATTATATTATTGAAATTTAGAATTTAATCTCCAAAGTTGTATGCATGTTGAGAGAAATTTTGAACTTTTCATTGAAAGTACCATATGAAGGGGCACTCTTGAGTGTTCAAAATGAAGCAGGAGGCAAAGCCTTGGTGAAGTCGATGGATCTATGGGTACGTAGTCTGCGCCCTCTCTGATCATCTCTGCTTTACAAGTTCAAATTCTATTATGTGTTTCATTTGCTCGATATATGAATATAGTGTTCCTCTTTCTAGGGCTTCGCTGATTGGGGATTCAAGACACTGACGTTTCTAAACCCTTTGATGTACTGTATATATACATAAGGAGTAACGATATTAAAATTGTATCCACGCCATTGCTCTTCCTCTATATCAGTTGCATTTGTTTGAATTAACGAGCTCTATTGATAATTAAATTCGGAGAGACACAAGCTCCCCTCTCCTTTGGGGAAATCTATAACATTGTTAACTCAATACTTTTATTGGAGTTGTCAATTACTTCAATAATAAAGGGTCACGCAGACGCATTAAGGGATTTATTTAAGTTAGTAATTCATTATTGGGTTTGAGCTTAAGAATAAGAATCCTTGTAATGCTGGGTGTTGACATGTGAATGACTGTACAGACCATGTTTAGAAGATTTCTTGTAATCTCCAAATATGTAGTTTAGGCAGTTACCTTCTAAGTATTGATTTACATTCATTTCCTTTATTTGGTTTCCTTACACATTACATTCACAATTGTATAAATTGTGATTTCTGTACATGAAAAGTTATATATACAAAAATTATTCTCTTTCTCTTCTCTCTTGGTCGGCATACTCAGCAACTCAGGTTGCTTCTCCTGCCTCTCTTGCACTCTTTGGTAACTTAGTTGCCTCCTCGTGCTTGCTGCCACACCAGCTTCTTACATGGTATCAGAGCAGGTTGTCCTGCCAGCCACTCTCCCTGTTATGCACCAATAATTCGTTTTTTTTCCCTGCAAAACAAATTCAAAGTTAGTGCTCCAAACCAAATGGCTACAAATCAAACAAACCCAATTAGGCCTGATCCAACAAACAACCAAGCGAACCCACACACACAAATGGACCCAAATAGAGAGCCCAACCCAAATCCCGACTCGAACACTTTTCTTTTCGGGTTTTCGGGTCAAACTGGCCCGAACCCGTTTCCCTAACAATTCCAGATTTTCCAGCCTCCATCTCACCGGCTGGAGCCCGGTGACCCCCTGTATTCCTCCCTATCAGATGGACCAAAACTTGTTCTAGTTAAACACGTTCTCATTGGCACAGACAACTATGCGACCTCGGCTCGCGATTTCCGACGGGCGTTAATCGCAAAAGATAAAGGCGGATTTATCAATGGCACCGTCACACCACCAAAAGATCCACATCAACACAAATTTTGGACACGATGCAACATGTAAGTTCGCTCGTGGATCGGCAACTCCCTGACCCAGGAGATTGCCACCGGTTTACCTCCAACAGAAATCGCCGAGGAACTCTGGCGATTCATCAAAGAAATATACGGCCAGTTGGATCTGGCCAAACTCTTCACTTTATGGCGAAATCTTGCTGATGTTAAGCAACAAAATCAGACCGTTACAGCCTACTACAATCGCCTTTCAGCCCTGTGGAACGAGCTCGATGCTGTCACTGATCCTCTCTGTGGACCACTGGAAACCTTGCAACAATACCAATAAATCAAAGAACAGGATCGTTTAATCCATTTTCTCCTTGGATTAAACGAAATTTTTTTAGCTTTTCGCACCCAGATGTTGGCCGCAACCTCACCGCCTTCCCTTCGTCGGGCTTACCAGTTGCTGTCCAGGACGAAAGCCAACGCCTTGCCTCCATGGAATCACCACAGTTGGGTGATTCCATGGCCTTCGCTGCAGACATAGACAAGAAAGGTGATGGAGTGTTGCGGCTAGGGTTTGCAAATGAGAAAGAAAAGCCTATTTTATACAAAACCGTGAACGGCCACGATTCAATCCAGCCATCTGACGACCCACAAGCAGTCAACCAGGTCAACAGTCAACCCAGTCAAACCCTTAGCAATTCATCTAATGGCCCATATTTTTTCAATTCTCAATATGGCTCCAATGGTTCCGGATCATCCCGATCGAGTAAAAAAATGTATTGTGACTATTGCAAAAGACGGAATCACAATTGGGACAAATGTTGGAAATTACATGGTTACCCTAAGAATAGAACGGGCCCTCCGACCTCCAATAATGTGACTGTCACTACCACCTCTGGATCTGAGACCCTATCATCCTTGCTCAAAACTGAACAAATCACTCAACTCATCCAGATGTTGAATCAACTGTCACTAAGCAACGCTTCCGCAAGTTATGCAGGTACATCTTTTTGTTTCAGTAATTCAATTTGCTGTGATTTATGGATTATTGACTCAGGTGCTAGTGATCATATAATTTGTGATCCTAAATATTTCCAATCACAAACACACACTGTTACACAATTATCTGTTCGAATGCCACATGGCAATATTGCCAATGCCACCCGCACAGGGATAGTCCAACTTAATGACAACATCGCTCTCTGAAATGTCCTTTTGGTTCCTGCTTTTAATTTTAATCTCATCTCTATATCCAAAGTTTGCACTGACAATAATTGCACATTGCAATTCCTTCTGGATATGTGTACCTTTCAGGACCCTTTGACTGGCAAACAGATGGGCTTGGGTAAAGCCCACCAGAGACTCTACTACTGGGAGCCATTTTCTTTTCTTAGTACTAAATATTATTGTAATGCCAATTTTAATAATAAATCTCTGATTTTACATCAAAGACTAGGTTACAGTGCATTTATACCTCACTCTCATTGTCCAATTTGTCTCATTGCTAAACAGCCACGGACGAGTTTTCCCATTAGCACATCCTCCACTGACCACCTTTTTGCCCTAATCCATCTTGATATCTAGGGCCCATACTTTGTCCCTAATCATGATAGATCCAAGTATTTTCTTACTGTCGTAGATGATTTTTCTCGCAGAACCTGGATATTCTTAATGCAATCCAAAGCTCAAACCTTTTCCCATATTCTCAACTTTCTATCCATGGTCCAAACACAATTCCAAACACGGGTTCAACGAGTTAGGACTGACAATGCCTTAGAATTTTTTAACCAACAATGCTCTTCCTTGTTCCTCTCCCACGGGATTCTCCACGAGAGTTCTTGCTTTTATACTCCTCAACAAAATGGGATTGTTGAACGAAAACACCGTCACCTCTTAGAAGTAGCACGAGCCCTCAAACATCAAGCCAATATCCCTGCCAAATTTTGGGGCGCATGTGTCATTACTGCTACCTATCTCATTAATCGCATGCCTTCACAGGTTATCGAAGGTAAAACTCCTTTTGAATTACCGTTTGGAAAGATACCTGATAACTCTCACTTACTTGTTTTTGGTTGTTTATGTTATTCCACAATCGTGGGTTCCTGTGACAAGTTTGCTCCTCGTGCCAAGAAATGTGTTTTCATGGGCTATCCTATGCTTCAAAAAGGATATCGCCTTTATGATCCTCAACTTAACAGATTCTTTGTTAGCAGAGATATTGTCTTTCATGAGAGTGTTTTTCCCTTCTCGGCAATTGACACTAAATCCGCTCCATCGGCTTCTGCCTTACTGGATTATCAGCCAGAATCTCCCATCACTGTCATTCCCATTCCATCTACTCAGCTATAGTCTAATCATACTACTGCTTTGGATCCCGACTCTACAGTTACTGATCCAGCTCCAACCTCTCCCCTCACCACAGATCATTCCCAGGATACTCCCTCATCTATAGATATAGACCTTCCTAATCCTTCACCAGCTACTGTTCCTTTACGCCGGTCTTCCAAAACTACCCGGCCACCTGTCTGGATAGCTGACTACATTTGCTCCACTGTGAATGGTACCGCCTATCCCATATCCAATTATGTCAGTTTTGATCGCTTATCTCCTGGACACAAATTTTGTATGAGCAATATTTCTGCTGATCGAGAACCAGCCACCTTTTCTGATGCCGTCCAGCATGCTTGTTGGCGTCAGGCCATGGAGACAGAATTAAATGCGCTAGTTAGTAACCACACATGGGACCTTGTTTCCCGACCCCCACATAGGAAACCAATTGGTTGTAAGTGGGTCTACAAGATAAAATATTGTGCTGATGGTTCTATCGAAAGGTACAAAGCTCGTCTGGTTGCCAAAGGCTTCACTTAACGGGAAGGTTTTGACTATCAGAAAATATTCTCCCCGGTAGCCAAACATGTCACTGTCCATACATTCCTTTCTGTCGCTTCTCACAATGATTGGCCACTTCATCAGATGGACGTCCATAATGCCTTCCTTCATGGGGATCTCGATGAGGAGATTTATATGGATATTCCTCCCGGTCTTCGCAATCAGGGGGAGAATCTTGTATGTCGATTATAGAAATCTTTATATGGGCTAAAACAAGCATCATGGCAGTGGAATGCAAAATTCACAGAAGCTCTCACAGCCATTGGATTCAGTCAATCCAAACATGATTATGCCTTATTTTCCAGACAACAGGGTGAGTCTTTCATCAGTCTCATAGTTTATGTGGAAATGAGGAGAAAGCAATCATAGAATTTAAAGAGTATCTTCACAGTACATTCCACATTAAAGATTTAGGGACACCAAAATATTTTTTGGGTATTGAGATTGCTTGTTCCTTAGAAGGAATATCTCTCAGCCAACAGAAATATGAACTTGAACTCATTGCATACTCAGGACTAACTGCATGCAAACCAAGCGTCATTCCCGTTGAAGAAAATGTTAAGCTCACCATACAAGAATATGATGAGAAAAGCAAAAACCCTAAGATTGATCCGTTATTAGAAGATAGTTCCAACTATCAATGGCTTGTCGGAAGGCTCATTTATATTACCATGACTCGACCAGATATCAGCTATGCAGTACAAATCCTCAGCCAATTCATGCATGCCCCGAAGCAATCCCACATGGATGCAGCAGTGAAGGTACTAAAATATTTAAAGGGATGTCCAGGGCTGGGACTTCTTTTGCCAAGGAAAGGAGACCTCAACATCACTGCATACTACGACTCAGATTGGGGTTCATGTCCAATGACAAGAAGACCCCTCACTGGTTTCTGTGTTAAACTTGGAGAATCCCTCATTTCATGGAAAACAAAGAAGCAATCCACTGTATCACTTTCATCAGCAGAAGCAGAATACAGAGCTATGGCCAAAACCACATGTGAAATCACATGGATTCTTGGATTATTACGGGACTTGAATCTTCAAGTGAAAACACCAATCAAGCTTTACTGTGACAACAAAGTAGCAAATGATATTGCAGCCAATCCAGTCTTCCATGAAAGGACCAAGCACATAGAAATTGATTGTCACTTTATCAGAGACAAGATACAGGAGGGTATGATTAAAACAAAGCACATCTGAACCTCAGATCAGCCAACCGACATATTCACAAAACCATTGTGTCAAAGACAACATTCACATTTATTGAGCAAGCTCGGAGTTTATGACATTTATAAACCACGAGCTTGAGGGGGAGTGTTGACATGTGAATCACTGTACAGACAATGTTTAGAAGATTTCTTGTAATCTCCAAATATGTAGTTTAGGCAATTACCTTCTAAGTATTGATTTACATTCATTTCCTTTATTTGGTTTCCTTACACATTACATTCACAATTGTATAAATTGTGACTTCTGTACATGAAAAGTAATATATACAAACATTATTCTCTTTCTCTTCTCTCTTGCTCGGCATACTCAGCAACTTAGGTTGCTTCTCTTGCCTCTCTTGCACTCTTTGGTAACTTAGTTGCCTCTCTTGCACTCTTTGGTAACTTAGTTGCCTCCTCGTGCTTGCTGCCACACTAGCTTCTTACACTAGGTTTTAGTTTTTTAAACTTAGTATATAATCTTATGATGAGTGATAACAAACAATAGAGTAATTAATTACTTTTATTGTAAACGAGAAATGTGAGAAAATATTACAATAATATTGACTAAGGGGGTGTTTGTCTGAGCTTATGAAAATTAGCTTATAAGCAACAAGTGCTTATAAGCTAATTTTCGCTTATAAGCATTTGAAATTTTAAGTAATTACATGTTTGGTTAAAATACTTATAAGTGACTGATAAGTAATTGACGTGTTTGGTAAAATGTGGCTTATAAATATATTTTATTATAAAATGACTAAAAAAGGTACTACATTAAACAAGGGTATACTAAGGAATTTTAAAATTAAACAAGGATAATGTGGTAATATACTTGGTCAAACTAGCTTATAAGCAGAGTACTTAGGGGGTGTTTGTCTAAGCTTATAAGTTGGTCAAACTTGCTTATAAGCTCTAAAATTAAACTGACATGTTTGTTTATAATTTTTTTGAGCTTATAAGCTAAAAAAAATAAGTTGGGGGGGAGGTACTTTCTTTTTTTTGGCTTATAAGCAGAGTTTGACCAAGTATGGGGGTGTTTGTCTAAGCTTATAAGCTGGTCAAACTAGCTTATAAGCTCTAAAATTAAGCTGACCTGTTTGTTTATAACTTTTTTAAGCTTATAAGTTGAGCTTATAAGCCAAAAAAAAAAAAAAGTTAGGGGGGAGGTACTTTTTTTTTTTTGCTTATAAGCACTCTGCTTATAAGCGAGTTTGACCAAGTATATTACCACATTATCCTTGTTTATTTTTAAAATTCCTTAGTATACCATTGTTTAATGTAGTACATTTTTTAGTCATTTTATAGTAAAATATACTTAGAAGCTACATTTTATCAAACACATCAACTACTTATCAGTCACTTATAAGTATTTTAACCAAACACGTAATTGCTTAAAATTTCAAATGCTTATAAGCTAAAATTAGCTTATAAGCACTTGTTGCTTATAAGCTAATTTTCATAAGCTCAGACAAACACCCCCTATATTACCACATTATCCTTGTTTAATTTTAAAATTCCCTAGTATGCCCTTGTTTAATGTAGTACCCTTTTTAGTCATTTTATAATAAAATATACTTATAAGCCACATTTTACCAAACACATCAACTACTTATCAGTCATTTATAAGTACTTTAACCAAACACGTAATTGCTTAAAATTTCAAATGCTTATAAGCTAAAATTAGCTTATAAGTACTTGTTGCTTATAAGCTAATTTTCATAAGCTCAGACAAACACCCCCTTAGTTAGACATAGCTTGTTAATTGGGTGAGCCAAGATAAAATCGCACATGTTTTTTCTTTCTCTTTATTAGTTTTGGTTTGTGTATTTACTGTTATTTTGGTTTTCCCATCTCTCTATTCGTCCAATTTTGGGATGCCAATTTTCATGTGTTGTGATGCGATGAAAACGTAAAATTGGCTCCTTTAATAGCTGATGGTGATAGAATAAATTAACCTACATTGATTATGAACTGATACAAGTAGCCTAACTTCAACAAAATCATCCCTAGACACAGCAGTGAGAAATACATTAGTCAATCAACTTATTAATATATGTAATGACTAATCTAAAGCATAATTAATTAGATCCCGATACAAAGGGAAAGCAATTAATGCTCCATACATGTATAATCTAATCTAAAAGGATGTCACATGCAATCATTATTTTATCTGGGAGTTTAATCCAAAATAATATCTCATTTATTAATTCTTTTTATACAAGTTGATATTCTACATATTATAGATGAATGAAAATTAAAAGATTAATTAATTATCTATACATAAAATGAAGGACTCAGATTGGGCTAATGGGCCTTTAATATTCGAACTAAGAGGGCCCCGAACGCCTAGACCGAGTCCTACACGTTAACAATTGACCCAAAGTCTTTCAGTTGCAAACCACCAGCACCAAAAGTTCGCTTACGTGTCACAAATTGATTGGTAACTATTACGTGGCATCTGTTTTCATTGGACGAAACTTGTCGATGCCAATGCTGCAACGGACTATAAAAACAGGTAACAAACTCAAAAACACTTGAGATTGAGATTTAGATCGACACAGGAGAGAGATGGCGGTCTCTCTACGGTTCGCTCTTCTACTGTTCGTGGCTTTTGTTTCCTTTCAGTTGATTTCCGCTTCTGATGATGCCAAGGTAACTCATAACTCATTTGTATTTATGTTTTAGGGTTTTCTTAATTATATATTTATGAATATATGGATTCTAATGATGCCACTCTGCAGATCTTGTACGAGTCCTTTGACGAGTCATTTGATGGGCGTTGGATCGTATCTGACAAAGCAGACTACCAAGGTGAGCTGTTTTAGTATTGGATCTGAAATGATAATGTTAATTATTATTATTATTTTATTTTTTATTTTTTTTATAGTTATTAGTTTACCTGTTAATTTTAAATAGACGTTGATTTCGGTTTAAAGTTAGATGGGCATGAATTGATTTTATAACGTTTTATTTTTGAAGTGTAATATTATAATTTATGGATAAAAGTTGAGAGCTTTCAGGCCGATTTACTTCATTTTAGATGCGGTGTTTGATGAGTTTTGAGTAAATGAGGATTTTTTTTAAATTATTATTATTGTGATTTTGTACTGTTCAATCGTTTTTTCTTCCTTTGTTTGGAGTTTTCAATCGTTTTTTCTTCCTTTGTTTGGAGTTGGATAAGTTATGGCCTCATGGATTTGTCTCCCCCAGTGAGTAGGGAAAGTTAACATCATAGATAAATCATACACTGCCACGGGATAGTTTGAGTGTGTTTGGTTGTCTGGTTAATGGCTCATGGAAAGATGAGCAACATGGAGGCTTCTCTTTAATAGAAATTTAATTGATAGGAAATTTTCAAACATTAAGAATAAATGTTAATCGATTAGAAGGTCTGTTGTCGTACTTAAGTTTTGTGAGTTGCATGTCGTTTCATTGAGTTTATAGTGTCATGGAATAAGGTCTACATATAACTTTGTTTCTTCCGCTAAAAGTGTTTGCTCCCTTAGTATTTTAACCCAAAATTAGTATGGCCCAAATCTTAAACAATAATCTTTCTTACATGATTTTTTTTTGTTTTTTGGGTATATTTCGTTGGGTTTGGGAAGTAGGTGGTTTTACCAAGATACATGTTAATCAAGATGCGTTCTATTTATTTATATATTGTTTTTTTCATTTTAGGTGTATGGAAACACTCAAAGAGTGAAGGTCATGATGACTATGGCCTTCTTGTGAGTGAACCAGCAAGGAAGTATGCAATTGTGAAGGAGCTTGATGAGCCCTTGTCTCTTAAGGATGGAACTGTTGTCCTTCAGTATGAGGTTCGCCTCCAGAATGGGCTTGAATGTGGTGGTGCATATCTGAAATACCTGCGGCCCCAGGAGGCTGGTTGGAAACCTAAAGAGTTTGACAATGACTCTCCTTATGCTATTATGTTTGGACCAGATAAATGTGGGGCCACTAACAAGGTTCACTTTATCTTGAAGCATAAGAATCCCAAGAGTGGACAGTACATTGAACACCACCTCAAGTTCCCACCATCTGTCCCATCTGACAAACTTACTCATGTGTACACCGCCATCTTGAAACCAGATAATGAGTTGCAAATTTTGATTGATGGAGAGGAGAAGAAGAAAGCAAATTTCCTATCATCTGAAGATTTTGAACCCCCACTCATTCCTGAGAAGACAATTCCTGATCCAGATGACAAGAAGCCTGAGGATTGGGATGAGAGAGCGAAAATTCCAGATCCTGATGCTGTTAAACCAGATGATTGGGATGAGAATGCACCCATGGAAATCGAAGACGAGGATGCTTCGAAACCTGAAGGATGGTTAGATGATGAGCCAGAGGAGATTGATGATCCAGAGGCGGCAAAACCAGAAGATTGGGATGATGAGGAGGATGGTGAATGGGAGGCCCCGAAGATTGATAACCCAAAGTGTGAGACAGCCCCTGGATGTGGTGTATGGAAGAGGCCAATGAAGAAGAATCCTGCTTATAAGGGTAAATGGCATGCCCCACTTATTGACAACCCTAATTACAAGGGTATTTGGAAGCCTCAAGAGATTCCAAACCCTGACTACTTTGAGCTCGATAAACCTGACTTTGAGCCTATTGCTGCTATTGGCATTGAGATTTGGACCATGCAAGATGGTATTTTATTTGACAATGTTCTCATAGCAAAGGATGAGAAGGTTGCAGAGTCTTACCTGGAGAGCACATGGAAGCCAAAGTATGATGCTGAGAAAGAGAAACAGAAGGCTGAGGAAGCTGCTGCTGGTTCAGATGGTCTTGCAGGCTTCCAGGTAATGGATTAGGAAACTACCTTCTCTTTTTCTCTTTTTGGATAAGAGTTTAGGGATCCCCATTGGCATGATTCTTATTTGTTCTTATTTTGGTTTTTATGCAGAAGAAGGTATTTGATCTGCTGTACAAGATTGCAGACATTCCTTTCTTGGATGCATACAAACATCAGATTCTTGTAAGTTGACA